GCCGAGAGCGAGACACACACAGAGAGACAGAGGGAGAGGAAGAAAGAGAGCCGGAGAAGATGCAGATCTTCGTGAAAACCCTAACAGGGAAGACTATCACCCTCGAGGTGGAGTCTAGCGACACCATCGACAACGTCAAGGCCAAGATCCAGGACAAGGAAGGTAACACCATCCTCCCGTAATCTAATCTCTCACATTTTTTCCGACGATCAAGTTTCGTGCTCGAATTCAAAGTAGTACGATTCAACGGTGATGATTTCTCCCCGGTAATTGTTTTGTTTTTGTTTAGGTATTCCACCGGACCAGCAGAGGCTCATTTTTGCCGGGAAGCAGCTCGAGGATGGCCGTACTCTCGCCGACTACAACATCCAGAAAGGTTAGCATTGTCTTATCCCTTGTTTGGTTGCTCAGAAAATTTTAGGATATGTTTGCTTGTGAAGAATTTAATTTAATTTTGAGGTGTTAATTTTTGGATATATACAGTGTAAATTTGGAAAATGAGTTTTCGATATATGTTTCCGGTTGCTATGTGATTGTGTTTGGATCATTTTACCTCGAGAAGTTTAGTATCCAATTTGTATTAGCATTACTCGAAGCGAAATGAGCTAACGGAAGACTTGACGCAAAGCGTTTTAGGATTTTACAGCCGATCCCACTTAGTGGGATAAGGCTTGGTTGTTGTTGTTTTACTCGAAGCGAAATATTTTCCTGTTTCTATGTGATTATGTTTGGAGATATTCCACCTTCAGAAGTTTATTACCCAATTTATAGTAGCTTTAGTTGAAGGGCTCGGGGCCGGGTTTGCACCTGCTGATGGCCTGGTTTATTCATGTTGCTGGTGATTTGTTGCGTGTTTATACTTGTGTATAGGTGCTTTCTGTTTGTTTATGTTTCTATGTGAAATATTTTCCTGTTTCTATGTGAGATTATGTTTGGAGATATTTCACCTTCAGAAGTTTATTACCCAATTTATGGTAGCTTTATTTGAAGGGCTCGAGGCCGGGTTTGGACCTGCTGAGTGCTGAGGGCCTGGTTTATTCACGTTGCTGGCGATTTGTTGTGTGTTTATACTTGTGTATACGTGCTTTCTGTTTGTTTATGTTTCACTGATTGAAAGTTTATTTTGATTATTTTTCTCAGAATCAACTCTGCATTTGGTTCTAAGGCTTCGCGGTGGGATTATTGAGCCTTCTCTCATGGCATTAGCTAGGAAGTACAACCAGGAAAAGATGATCTGCCGCAAGTAAGTTCCAACTGATTAAGCTTTTCTTTATTTCTTTCGAGACATAATCGATGTGTTCATTTGGATGAGGATTTGTATTCTAAAAAAAGAGAATGCGGATGAGTATTTAATTTATGCTTAAGCCCAAGCCATTCAATCCGAATATGATTGAGCGTCCAACATTCGTTAGTTTGAGAGCTATTTTACTTTTCTTTGATTCTCATTGTATCTCACGTATATAAATGCTCGTGAGCAGGTGTTATGCACGCCTGCACCCCCGTGCCGTGAACTGCAGGAAGAAGAAGTGCGGACACAGCAACCAGGTATTTCATATAGCCGAGTGATGTCTGTTTGATCCTACTACCAACCGTTACTTTTTAAGGTTTGGTTCTTTATTCGTGTCATCTTTTATTAATGCAGCTTAGGCCAAAGAAGAAGATCAAGTAAACTGGGAATCGAGACAGCGGAATGTCGCATCTTTTTGGATCATTTAGGTCTTGGACATTTTATTTTAAAGCTTTGTTAGCGTCAACCAGGGTACTGTTATAAGGTTTAGCATCAATATTTTTCAACTTGCTTTGGAATTTTTCTCTGTGATGTTGCGTAATCTTGGCGTTGTTTAAACTTCTGTTTGGACCCAATTTTGCACCATCGACCCGAGCAATTGAGGCCGTTGAGTGAGTAGTTCTAGACCATTGAGTACGTGAGATGTTAAGATAATTTTTAGTTATTATTGAGTTGAGTGATAATATCATGATTTTTAATCATGATAATTATCTCTTAATAACTTACTAAATTATCTTGCCGCATTCGTATCCTAAATAAAAGGAGGTTGCAAGCAGCAATTCGCTTACCAGCACCATTGGACTCTACAATATCATCAAGCCTTGCCAAGCCGCAGGAATATGCATACTTGAAAGATAATATTTGTTTATACCATATTTAGGTTAGAGAGAGAGAGAGAGAGAGATGGGAGGTAATTGCAACAACACCGTTGAAACCGAAGCTGGTCGCTGGGGACGTTGTCGATGAGATTGATCTGATCGTAGAGAGAGAAGGCGCGTCTCCGCTACGGCAGCGATTGCGGGTTTGCAGGTTTCGGGTGGGCTTCCTTCTGGAGGCTCCGAATGAGGTCCGGCAGTGCCTCCATGGCTCTCACTCTCATCCGCATCTCTCCCTCTCTGATATTTCGCATCAGCTTTTTAGCGAGCAGCAGCTTTTGATTTCCCCAGGAGAAGGAGAGGATGAGACGCTGTATAATGCAGAAGGAGAAAAGAGGGAGGTGCTGGAGGAGAATATGCCATCCAACGGAGCAGCAACTTGAACGGAGCTAAAGCGAGTGCAGATTCTGATGAGGAGTGTTTTGATGATGCAGGGATTCTGAGGACACTGGATTACCTTGGAATTTCTCCGTTTGTGTTTTTGTGATTTTGCAGATTCACGGTGGAGGTGAAAAAATGAAAAAGAACCGACACAATTTTTCGTATCGATTCCCACCGACGGCGCTAAATGTTAATGCACAAAACCAGAGGTCTTGAAACAACGTAAATCCGACCGTGAATCTGCATGAAATGTAAATAACACAAGATGTATCGTGGTTCACCTCAAGGTTTGGGCTACGTCCACATTTATTTGAGGGAGTGAGAGCTCTGAGAGAGAGCTTTGAGAGAGGGTGAGATGGCCTAGGAATTGGCCTCCCCCAATTGTGAGGGTGAGGGGTCCTTTTATAGAATAAAGACTCCTCACTTATTATATATTTGCCTATTCTTTTATTACATAATTACATTTAAGTTCCCAAGTATTTGTACGATATCTAAATACGAGGCTTTAAATATGGTATAAACAATATTCATGTTATCTTGGAATTGGCTACTGATGAATTATAAATACAGAGTCGTAGGCCACATTGAAAACCTCCTTCCAAATCAACACACAAATTGCCTTGCGCAAAGCTTCTTAACAACCCTGAGATTTTTTCCTCTCTCCCTTTCTTCTCGTCAACACATCATCAGTTTGGATAAACAACATTGGGAAGGCAATCGGCGACATCTTCAGTTTGATAGACAACACTGGAGTCGTAGAATCAATTGACTGAGAAGCACTTTCAGTTTGGATAGACTACACAGCTTCGAGACCGATTGGTTATTTATGTAAGTCTTGGTTAACAAGGATTTTCGAGTCCTTGTTGGTAAAGTTCATCTCATCAGCATTCTCGGTAAAGTGAGGTGTTACCAGGTTACTACATTTGGCACATTGAAAGTCGAATTTGAAATTGAACTTCGCTGAACTAGCAGCCTTGTCTTCAGGCTCTAGAACCCGAAGGTCGATACGTGTTCCTTTCTCAGCCGCAGTCGCAAGATCAAAAAGTCAGCAGCGCGCCCAATGCCAAATCAACATATTTTACTCCCCGGCCGAAATCGGCCGACTAGTTGATACGCCCCGCGGACAACCGAATGACATAATTAACTTATTAATTACTCGTCCTACGCGTCATGTAAGCTTGATAGTTTTTACCATCAACTTCTTACTATGAGAAATGGCATTCAAAAGCAATCGCTTTCCTTCCATTTCTTCATTACCACATTCTGAAACGGATAAACCAAATTTACAAGTTGTGCGATGATTTGATAGGTTCATCTCTTCTGTTCATCTGTTCAAGGATAAGATCAGAATTCGCATCAACTTGTCTGGAAAATGTTTTGGATCATCTTCCGTCTTGTTCAATCTGCAGTTGCCCAATGTAACTGTCCTTTTCCAATTTGTTCGATCTGCGTCCGATCGATCGAGGCACTGAAAACACAATAGGGGAAGGCCAAAATTAAAAAAATGAGCCTGAATTGACAGCTGTGGGATTTGAACCCACGCCCTTTCGGACCAGAGCCTAAATCTGGCGCCTTAGACCACTCGGCCAAACTGTCATGTTTCGTCGTTCTTAACAAAAACAAATTCATATTATACTAAGAGCAGTTCCATCAGTTAAGAAGAACAAAGGGCAAGGTAGTTAAGTTGGCCTTATTATTCACTATAAATAGTACTTGCCTATGTGCGCTTCAATCCGTTGGGCAAGGGAAATGGCAAGTCAATTACTATTCACCAATGTAATTTTTTTTCTTCTTTAGGTTGTTTTGTTGGCTTTATCCTTCACGTGTTATATTCGTTTTAAATTTCCGATAGTTCACTTCATAACTTTCTACGCGTTCACTTGCATGTAATTCGTAATGGAATAACCCAATTTCAGGAATTTGATTAACTAGGGGAGGTGTTAATCCAATTCCCTTTCCTTACTTTTTTCCATTCCGAAGTTATTCCTTATTTTCCTCTTACCGAGAAGTAAACGAAGCATGGTGACAGCGGATAAGTAACTGATTAGTTTTGGTGCAACATGAATCATACAAACTATGAATTAGAGTCCCACTGATCTGTTGCTTTTTTCATGCAATCTCTCGTGACCCTGCAACGCACACAAACACACATACACTCATGCATGGAGGGCACAAAGACGTCCATCCATCGCTTAAATTTTGCTTCTTCCCAGTTATGTTCTCCAAACAACTGCCTGTTGTAATATTCTTTGCTCTCAAGGAACGCGAGAGCAAAGAATACTAGTCTCTGCAGAACAATTAGCGGACCGGATTATGCAATAGCTCGACAGATGTAAGCTCAAGAACGATGTTAACTGGCTTACGCTTATCAAGCTGCTGAATAATCCGGTTCGCTTACTGTTCTACATCTAACTCAGCAGAAGATGTAAGTTAAGGCGTCCACACCTCACTTATGCTTTAGTTTAGAAGGATCAATACATTGATTATAGTAAAAATCTTCACTCTAAATATTACACCAAACTTTTATATGCAGGGTGTTGGGGGAAGGGGGGGTGTTGAAAATTTCAAGCCCAGAAATTTAACCAGTGTAAATTACAACGTGATGGATCAAACAAAATGCTGCCTGAATCCAGCCTATGCAATTCTTGAGGTGTCGCAGAGGCATCCAATTGACCTATCTTCAGAAGCTCATCATGTCTTTCATCTCCATACTCCCCACCAACATCATTGCTTGTATGTGAATCTATGACTCCTCTCCGCTCCAATTCCTCTTCTAGTCTTACTTGAGCAGTCGTCTCACAATTCCCATCTTTGTAACTCGATCCATCCGCCGTCTGATTCATGAGAGAATCTTCGGTAGGGGCGCCATCTCGAGATGTTCCCACAAGATCATTCAACTTCTGCAACTGCTCAAAATAACCAAAAAAAAAGATGTTTAATGTTGACGACCAAGCTAGAAATTTAGAATGCAATTTCATGAACAACGTTTGGCTCCTTACATATAAATGCAAATCACAATCTGATAGAACAACTTATGCACGCATGTCAAACCGTGATTTTATGTATAAACATGATCGTTCTCACATGAGAGGAGCCAAGTGTTTTTTCCTGATTTTCAAATTATGAGAAACTGAATAAGTTTATTTACTTTACCTGCATAAGCAAGGACTGCTTCTCCTCCTTCAAAGATTCAAACCGACATGCTAACTTGTCATAATCTTCTCTGAGACTTCTCAAGTCCCGCTCCATCTGTTTCGACTTCCATCTAGCTCTTCTGTTCTGAAACCATATGGCAACCTGGCGAGGCTGCAGCCCAAGCTCTCTTGCCAATTGCACCTTCCTCCTCGGCTCGAGCTTCGAGTCTGCTTCGAATATAGACTCCAACAAACTGATTTGTTCGTCGCTAAATCGCCTCGTGTTTGTGCCCTTGTTCTTCTTCCTTTTCGTCGCGAACTGCGGCTCTGGGCCGCTCACATAATCCAAGTTTTCTTCTTCATAGCACTCCTCTTTCCTCCTTTCCATGACTCTGATTCTCGGTTTTCAGTCCGATCTTGGACTTGATTGATATCGACTTGAAATGTTCTCGACAATTGTTGAAATATTAAGTAACGTTAAATTTATAAGTGGATGTGGCTTAGGAATCTTGGTAACGATGTGAGCTTCTAGCATATATAGTAAGGGTTGAAGAGTCTATCTTCTCACTCACGCGGTTGCTTTCTTATAATTGGAAGTTGTTGATTGATAGGTTATCGTAGGCTAAACCAATGGTGTTAGCTAGCGTAAGCCACCCTTCATTTCATAATTTCTTGCCTTGTGGACCTCTCCAATTCGAGAAATTTTTCAGTATGCCGAAAATACAGTTTGATACACCAAGTATCGTAATACAAATTGTTAGATTTTTTTTAAGTATCCAATCACTTGGTGTATCAGACTGTGTTCTTGGAAAATTGAAAATTTTATCCTGTTCACTGTTATCTTTCTTTCTTTCCCATCTCTAGAAATACCAGTGTATGTATGTTTCTTGCATGCACAAAGCACACAATTTTGGCTTGTTTTGTGCTTTTTTTGGGTGGAAATAATGAGAAAAAGTAGATGCATTACACAATCTACAGGATTTGAAAAGAAGAAACTTGAACTTGGGTTGCTTGTTTAGGTGTCGATTTGTAGTCCGTAGATGATGTCCCAATTGCCATTCACGTACCATATATACTTTTTGCTTTTTGACAATGAGCACCCAATAATACAAGGACAAGGATTGTCTGCCATCCTACTTTCAATGCCCTTCAGTGTCCTTCTGTTTTGTGTGATCACGATTAAGCCACGTCAACATTTTATATTGTTTTTTTATGAAGATAATAAGATAAAAATGAATAGTAATATAAAATGTTGAGTTGGCTTAACCGTGACCACACAAATAGAAGGGTACCGGAAGGCACCGGAAGTGGGAGGGCCGACCATCATTGTCTATAACACAAACACTAGTGTTCTATTAATTTTTCAATTCAATTATGATAAAATCTTGTCCGTCACCTGTGATACTATTTACAACCGATGAAACTGCATAATCTCTCGACTGCCATATTATTTAATTTGTCTAAATCATAGGCATAAAAAAGTTGGCACTCGCAAAATCGTACATCAAAAGATTAATATATAGAAGATTTGTAATTTAACGGTGCATATTTCATCTATCATTATTTTTTTATATACTTTTTGACAATAGGAAACACCAACAATTCAAATACTCATGCCTTTTTCTTGACTCTTGAGTGCAACATATATTTACAACGTGGTAAACACTTACATCAAAAGATTAATATATAGAAGATTTGTAATTTAACGGTGCATATTTCATTTGTCATTATTTTTTTATATACTTTTTGACAATAGGAAACACCAACAATTCAAATACTCATGCCTTTTTCTTGACTCTTGAGTGCAACATATATTTACAACTTGGTAAAATCTTATCGTCAAATATGTACAACTAATGACATGGCAAAACCTCTAGACCATAAAATTTATTAACTCGCATATTATTCATATTAAAAAACTAAAAGTAATGTGACTAAGTATGACTTGCATGATGAAACATACTATACAAATATTTCACTTTCAAAAATATCTAACATGTCTATAGAAAATTGATGGTCGCACATATGGCAAGTTTTGGTTAATATTCAATTGTGTCATGAGTTGTATATGGTCGTGTAAGATAGGATGATGGCAACTTTAGATGAAGATAAAATTGCGTCGCCTAATGCCGACAAACGAAAGGATCGGTTTCAATACACTTGTCAAGTTAAATCAAAAGGAGAAAGCAAAGGCCAATGCTTTTTCAATAAAAGCCAATCATATCGGTGGGGCTTTCTGCACTGATGTCTCTCACTCCTCCATTTTGTTTGGTTTCTAGTGCTTAGTTTCATCCTACTCAATCGATGCGTCCATTTTCTATATGGCTAGGTCCAGTGTCTTTCAGGGTTCCATGGTTGGTGTGGTGTCCTCTCCAGACTCCCATGAGACGTGCTCACTCCTCTCAAATTCATGCATGCCTTTTGGGATTAGGTCACACTTGCACGCCACGGGAGCACTTTATCGTTTACAATGTGGCAAGAAATAAAAGGGTCATGTTAGAATGGTTAAAAGCATTTTCGGAATGATTTGGGAAGTGTACTGGCAAAGTTTTTATTGACATAATGTTCAACAATACTTTTACGCCATGTTTGAGACTACTTTTTAAAGGATTAAAAGTTTTATTTGATAATTGAAATTTCTTTTACTTAGCTTGGCGGAAAACATTTAAAATGCTTTTGAAATATAGAAGCATATCTGTAGAATCACCTATTAGATCCTATTTCATAAAGCATTTGAATTTAATAAAATTTCAACGTGTTTCTAATTAAAACACTTCTAGCAAAGCATTTTAAATAAAAGCAATCCCATATCAGCTTTTAGAAGGGTCTCATTAAATAAAAAGCGTTGTGATTCAAGAAAGTTACACATAAAAGCAATTACAAGCAAGTGTTTTCTAGTAACTTCATAAGCGGCCTAAAGTGGACTTCCGTTTTCATTAGGTTTCCAGTTTGGAATCAAAGTAAAAATGGATTAGCTCGATCATGATAGAACTTATGTATTGATTCTTAAGCAAAATTCTGGTTTAAGAACCAATTAATGAACTAATTAAAAACTCAACAGAAAACAAAACTGTCCTCCATCTTGGCCTAACTGGTGGCCTCATTTATGTCGTCTGAGTATTGAGCAAGCTGGGACAAAAAAATTGTTATCCAAGTCCAGGATACTTGGCTGCATTTCGTGCCAGGACTGGTGAACTCAGGATAAGCATAACATGGATTAGCATTTATTGTCGTCCGGGTAAGTCTGGTGTAGATGTGATGTGGCTAACCTGAACAAATTCACGCTGTTTTTACTTGTCAAATATCGTTAATTCGTCTTTGGTATTTAGGTGCTTTGTGAGGACACGTTTCGGGGAGCGATTCGAGCCAAATGTCAGTCTCTGCCGTCGACAACAAGCGGGCAAAACTTTGGGGGCCAAAAAATCTTTAAGTGATGACTTGCGTGGCTCTCGAACCATTAAGAAGAAGGGATTGGATTGCTGTCGTTGTTGCATGATTTCAACATCAATAGTTCACCTTTCCTTAATTAAATGTAGATTGTGTAAGAATGTGAAGGTAAAAGACCATCACATTGGTGAAAGGAGAAACTTTGCATTGATTTATAAGAGGTTGGGTTACTCCTCATATTGCCAATTAATTGTATAGTGGAGTCTCAACTCTTTTCCGATTGACGATTAACTAATTTGATCCATTACCTTGTCCCTCAAGTTAAAAATAGCCTTAGGGTTTGTAAACCATTTGTTTCTATTTCACCAAATGAAAGAAGAAATAAAAACAATTACTTCAATTACCTTTAGATGCAACAAGAAACATGGAGGCACACGTGTCTTGATCAAACGGTAGGCGAAGTTCCTATTGATCACCATAAGAAAATAAACTTATTAGACATCTTTGTTAATATTTCTCTAACCCAAATATTATAAGCATGTTATCTCAAATAAAAGTAAATATACAAAGCATTAGCATCTATAAACCGGATGGATTTTCAGAACTTGAAGACGATGACAATTTTCTAGTACTTCCAGCAATCCATCATACTGGAGGATCCCCCATGAGCAACCTATTTCCAAACAGGTTAGGCATTTCGACACTGGCATAACAGCTGCAACTCCAACATATGGATTCTGCACAGGCTATTTGTTCGAATAATTAATATTTTTTAGGAATAATTTGCTTAAGGTCACATAATATTTTCAATAATTAAGATTGGGTCATCTGACGCCACTCAGTACTATGGTCTGGTGGTATTCCTCTTTACTTGTAAGTGAAAAGTCTTAGATTCGAATCTTGTAGATGACGAATTCGATACCAATTTAGGTTGTCTATTGTGGGATTTAACCGAACTCCCATCCCCGTAGTGTAAATTATATCGTTGTACTAAAAAAATATATATATATATATATATAAATAATTAGGTCATGTCTGACACTTTAGCGACAAAGATATAGGATACTAGAACAAAAACAAAAATGTAATGACATAGAATTACCCCGGGAAAATATAAGATTTTGAAGACAAGAGGAGAGTTTTGTTGTACTTTCTTCAGTTCGTTAGGAAAGAAACCCAGATTTTCAAAAATCGTATTGAACTTGGTTAGGACGTTCTTGAACACAGGAATCGAATCTAAGAGTTTTCTTCACCATAAAATTTAGTATAACAACATAGGGTAATTTCAACTTTACTGTCCTCATGTTTCGTAAAACAAATAACTTCGACCACCTTGAGATGCGACAAGATATATCTATCTTAACAACATGCTCAACATTCCCGATTGATAGATAGATAAAATTCCTGATTGATAGATCAACATTCCCGATTGATAGATCAGATATTTTTAGGTTCCCGTAACAACATGCGATAAGAGATCGTCATGGAAAGAGATTCAAATATTTTAGTCGATATTTTGAATCATAAAGCTCAAGTTCCATGGCGTGTTCGATCAGTCGTCGGTTCTACAAGACATTTTAAACCATAGAGAGAAACGAACATGATTGCAAACGGTTTTGCTATATTACGACCTTATTACTACCATTCATGTGTATGGTTCACTAATTTTCCTAACATTGTTATTTCCATAATACAATTTGCTACATATGGTTAAAGATTTGTAGATGATCTTGATTGTAATTTGTCTGTTTCTAAAGGAAAACATAGCTATTGCTTAACTTGAGAATAACCAATATTATAAGCATATGTGTGTGTGTGTGTGTGTGTGTATGTATACCCCATGAATTTTCAGAACTTGAAGACGAGGAGTGCTTTGCAGTGCTTTCAGCACTTCGTTACAATTTCGTCTTACCCACGGGCCACATGTATCCCACTTCCAAACAGGTCCACTGCTCGAACATTGGCATATCATCAACATTTCGATCTATTGGTTTATTAATCAAGAATAAAATCAATGAAGACATATTAATTAGCAACAGTATAAGGACTAAATAATAGTAGTAGAACGAAAAATGCAATTATATTGCATGTAATTACCGAGCTCAATTGAAGATATTTAAGACAAGGAGAGTTTTGTAGTATTTTCCGCACTTCATTAGAATTGATAAAACTTTGAAAGCACATATGGTTTAGGAATTGGAACATGGGAATCGCATCCAAAAGGTTTTCCTCAATATCTCCTGGAACCTAAAAATGTAAATTTGACATAAAACATCAGTGATACAATATTTATATTGAGAAACAGAATATTTCAAACATGCATCTTCGCTTGACAACATATGAAGCAACGAATTTCAAAAGAAGCTACTGTAGTAGATTGCATACCTTAAGATCGAGTTTTTTTTACATTAGAGAGACATCCAAGAAGCATATAAATTCGATAGGTAGCAACTTTATCACCTATTACATAACACTCAATGCATGCCTCCTCAAGTGAGGATTGATTGTACAAGTAATGCTCATTTTTGAATCTACCAGAGCATGTATAATGTTTGAGATTAGTTCCATGAACCATGACCCGACAACCATGATCGAAGTTTCCAAAAGGGGTGTGCTATCCACACACCTCTTTTTATTTCTCACACACCCCTTGTTAATTTCTGTCTTTTGATCTTCTTCAATTCCTCTTATCCGACGGCCGAAAATAAGAAGGGTGTATAAAAAGTAAAAAGAGATGTGTGGATATCACACCCCTTTCCAAAATAATCTTAATGTACGGTCAATCTCAAAAAGTTTTGGTGCACGAATATTGACAATCCTGACGTTCGGCAAGAACAGGAATTTTGATAAGCATAAATCTTCAAGGACTGGACAGCTAGAAAATAATTGATTGGTCGATTGTTCATCCGAGAATTTAACAAGCTTGAGCACCAAGGTTTTGAGGCTGGAAAAACATGTTGTAGGGGGACGTTAGAAGACACTAGGCATGCATAGATCTAAATGCACAAGTGATTCGCAAGAAAACAAGCAGCAAAGCAACGCAAGTAATTCTGCATCCAGTATTTTGTTTCCGTAAATGTTTTCATCAATGTAGATAGATAAATCCTGCACATTCCGCATCTACACCTTTGATCCAACGCATAATGACAGAGGTCATAGCTTCTTAATCGTAGTGTTGATATATAATTATAACATGGAAGCTTTTTACGAAATGTTGAAGAAAAATTGCCCTATCCACATAATCTGAAAACTGTTCTATCTTCCGATCCCGGTTGAAGGGGAATTTACGCAAGTCAATGATGGGATTGACGTATCTCCACCTTTTTGATAATATGCTCGTTCTAACTGCTTCTTTAGGGTTGAAGTAGGATATCATGAGTTGAAGAATGTCGTCAGGTAAATCACTCAAGCTTCTGTTGCTGCTGCTAAGCTTTCCTGTTTCCAGATATTATTCATCTTCGGTTATTCAACAATATTAGCTCACCTAATTTTTTCATAAAAAAAAAAAAAAGGAACAAAATTGAGTCACTTACGCTATAGAAATTAACCCAGAAAGAGCTTACGGTTTAGAAATTTCAAGTCGAAGACGCAGCTGAAGAATTCCAAATTATTAATTTAGAAATAGTGAACAAGCAGCCAGCAGGACACCCCACTGGCACTCTCCCGTCGCTCCAATGACTCCAGTCTCTCCGGTCTCCAGGAAACAGATATGAGAGCAGAGAGGGAGGTGGTTCTACAATTATATATGCGCCTTTTTCATGGGCTTTCCATATGGGCCTTTTAAATCTGGCATTTTTCTTAGATTTCTCGGTCCTGTTTTGTTCATTTTTCAATTAATATTACGATTTAATGAGATTCTCTTATTGGTAAATCTACATTTCTATATAAGTCAAAATTTTTATTTAATTCGACTTCCATGAATGACGAGTTGGATATAAGACTCAATAATCAATTGTAGAATCCGTTTGAAAATTATTTTTAAGTTGCTTTTTCGTTCATAAGTGTCTCTAATAAAAACGCTTCTCTTAGAAGGAGAAGCAAACACATTTTACCTTTAATCAAGACGCAAATTAGAGTTTGGCATCCACTTTTTCACACCCTTTGGACAAGTTGAAGAATCTTCAACTTCTAAAAAAACCATTTAATTTGTTCGATCACCAATTATACCATAATCACAAGAAAACTGAGTAAAAACTTTTGAGCTTCAAGCATTTCATATGCACAGTTATGGATATGACGAAATCCATCCCATAATCTCCATAAAAATTAACTTCGACCACCCTTAATTGTGACAAGAAACATGGAGATACACGGGCCTTATCATCGTTTATACTAAAATTCCTTGATGGTGAATTCCATATTTTCTATATATTGGAGTTGTGGTAGATGATAAACACATATGTTAAGACGTTTGAGGTTTTCTTGATTGTTAATTATGTTTGTACCATACTTGACCAATTCCGAAACTATCAAGCACCGGTCAACGTCATACCTTCAAGGACCCACTGAGGGGTTCATACTAAGGCACCCCTGCCAAAGCACAAGAGTTTCCCTCCAACCAGGAAGCCAATCACAGCACGACAAATGTCAACGTCAAAATAAAGCTCATAGAGTCCCACTTCGACCGCAGACAAAAGTTGGAGACTCTCCTCAGCTATAAAAGAAGACCATTCTCCTACAATTAATCTCTAATGTCATTATTGTACTTAAACCAGTCATTAGAACTCATTAATGATGATTATTCTTAAACTTATGTATTTGTGTAAACCCTCCACTATTAATGAGAACTCATCTACCCCGTGGATGTAACCAAACTGAGGGTGAACCACGTACATCTTGTATTTGCTTCTCTATCTCTATCTCTTTACATATTTATCCTCACTAGTGACTCGGAGAAACCAAGCGAATGTCACAAACTTGACACTTTACATTGTTCCAAAGTCTTCATTGATTTTGTGTATCAACAATTTCCATATTACTATTGGAGTTGGCTTCAAGTATTTTGTTTAGTTTTCCTGTGTAATTTATCACTCTAGGTAAAAAATATAATAACTAAAGAATTTAAAGATGATATAGTCATAATAAGATGAGGATTTAATTTTAATGGTTGACTCAATTTTTTTTAATACAAATAATATTTTTATATTAAAAAGAAAAAATTTAGAATAAACTGTGATAGTTTAGTTCAAATTCGCTTGATAAAGAATAACATTTAATATCTCTTATGAAATAAACAGAGTGTGCCCACCCAATTCATATATCTATTACAGTATTCGTTACATGGGAGTGTGTGCCTAGCTATGAACACATGGTGTTACCCCAGTTACCCGGATCAGGATCCTCTCCTGAGCAAGGAGTGAGAATCTTCCTGACCAAGTCCATCAGGCTGTTGAAATTTTATCCAACGATTATAATTATTATAACTTTTAAAGAGCTCTCCTGTTTATAACCGTTGGATAAAATTTTAACGATCCGATGAGCTTGATCAGAAGGATTCTCACCTTTTGCTTAGGAGAGTATCCTGATCCCAATTGCCCAACCTTACAGCTGGTTCCAGAAACCAACACAGTTGACAATTATCGGGCCCACGCACCTACTCTCTCGATGTGCAGCCCTTCTTTTCTTTTCCTTTTCTTTCTCGTAAAGTAAACCAAATGATTATACTTGTTAATAATCATGTATTTATTATGATTTCATTTCATTTCATTCAAGAAGTAAAAGTACTCTCTCCCCTTTTGTTTCATTTGGAAAAACGCGATCCGAATGAGAGAACACCGGCCGTATAATAGATGATGATGATCAGTCGAAGTTTATATATTACAAAGGAAGCTTATCGTTTTGAGGGGAATGTTGTCTGGTACGAGGCTAATAAGTCAGCAATTCCTCGGACCAGGCTTCATTCCCCTCAACTAATGCTTCCATCTAATTTGCCAAGCATCTCTCTTCGTAAAATATTAGTTCGCCAATATCGTCAAGATGTCGATCCCCTGCAGAGAGATGATCGATGGATCTTCAGGTAGGTTAATTTTAACTAATCCCAAGATTTTTTTTGGTTATTTTATGTTGATCATCTAACAGATTGATTTAATGATGATGCGGGCTTAGTTTGATCGTACTTCACTACTACAGGTATGAAAGAAGAGAAAAAAATCTATCATTTGCGTTTGACTCATGATTCAAGTTTTTCAACATTAATACTGTGTGTGTGAATTTCTGTCAGCCTTCCTTTTTGTTCATCATTGGATAGATCTTTTCTCATGATGGGCACAACCCTAATTAGGGTTTCCAATCCGTGTGCTTTTCTTTGGCCTTAGCTAGGGTTAAACCTCCCTAGGTTTTTTCTTTTCTTTTTTAAGACCAATCAAAATTAGGGTTTTCATCTATTGGATAATCTGGATCCGTTACCTAATTACAAAATTAATAACGGTTATATCTGGATAATTGCTTTCGTTGTATATAGTGTAGTGGGCGGCGGGTGGAGTTGCAGAGCTGTTTGTATTCACGGTATCAGTATATGATAATATTGATCTCCACCCTTCTCAGCAGCTTTACTAATTAATATTCTACTGATCTCACTATATTATTTATTCCATTGAATAATGTATTGATATATACTTTTAGTGACTTAGGGATTCGAAATTCGAATCCTCTGCGTAGATATGGAATTTCCGTGAAGATATATCGGCACCGATCAGAGTGCGGACATATATTCTGTAGTATTGATTCCTCTTTATTGTGATCAGTTTGCTTTTGTAAAAGAGGTATTTCTTTCATCTTTTGAACATATATTTCTTTACAATGCATGTCATCTATCTTCCTGATATAGTTGTGTGTGTGCGCGCGCGCGTGCGTGTATCTGTGTATGGAAATCTGGGAGAGGTTGTGTTAGATCAACTAAAAATAATTTCAGTTAGAAAGAAGGCTAGAGAAAACACATTTCTTTACCAGAAAATACAGCTTCGTTAGGTTATTTTTATTTCAGTTTCTTCAACTTATTTACAGCATGATCTCCTCATTGCACAATTATATTGGTGATCGCCAATCAACCATTTATAGACTTCCACAGTTCAAATTGTAGCTAGTTTTTTCCTTATGATCCTCATTGCACAATTATATTGGTGATCGCCAATCAACCATTTATGGACTTCCACAGTTCAAATTGTAGCTAGTTTTTTCCTTATGATCTGTTTGACTGATATTCCAATATCCCATCCTGTTTAATTCGAACCTTCGTTGTTAGGTTGGCAAGACTATACATTGTATACTAATCACAACAAAAAGCTAACAATATATGGCCATTGATCTTAGTTATAAGCTTGGCAAAAGGCTTATATCAATGAATGATCGGGGTGGTAAAAGGTCTATCAGTGGCCATTGATAGACCTTTTCACCATCTCATTTTATGAAACTAATGTCAGTTGCTATGGTATAGTTTCTTGTAGTGACGGTTGGTTATTGTAACAACTAGCAAGCAGCCACTAAAATCTAATCCATTCACTTCCATTTTTCAGAATATACCAAGTCGGTTTACGTGTTTATTTTTCTAGGATGTGACTATTTAAAACAAAGTGATGTTATTTGGACACGCATGAAACTGATACACTTCTTAGAGCAAGTAGTACACATAATAATAAAGTTCACCTCTATTGGAGACTAGAGAGAGTGTTGCCAAAATCCCAAATGTATCAATTATGTGTGTTTCAATAGTTTTATGTTTTGTTTGACAAAAAATATATGGTTTTATTGTTTCCAATAACGTGTGCATGAGCATGCATTGAGCACAAACACTCGCCTCTTCTCTTCTAATAAACTACCTCTTCCCTTCTAATAAACTATTTCATGCACATTTCTCAGTTACTCATATATAAAAAGGTTGGTAAGCTCGTTAGCTAGTAGTACTGTCTAAGGTCTGGGCCAGGCCACAAACCGCGCACCTAGTAAATATATATTTGACAATTGTGAGTAGTGGGGTGCAGCCTTGCAGGTGTGTGCAATGTGCGAGACAAAGTTAAAAAGAAAAAGACTTTATATCTTATGGGTGGAAAGGAAAGTACTGATGATCACTGGAAGTGTAGGTTTTATATATTGCCGCCTGCAGTCAAGTCGATGAGGCATCATGCCTTAATGCACTTTTTATTTAGTTTTCGGGATCGCCAAAAGCAACTTTTTCTGGTTTTAGTTGTACAAAGATATATAAATCTCAATAGCGATTCTTTAAGAATGCCTGCACTAGCTGTGGGTTGTATGCACCAACCGACCAAATTTTGCAGTGCAGTAGTTGCTCTCTTTTTATTGGGAGCTGGGATTAGTTATTGCATTGATCAAGCATGTACTGCATGTGAAACACAAAATGTGTACATACTGAGAATGTATATGTAACGTCTGCATGATTATAGTAAAATGTACATAAGAATCTAATTCACTTCCTGAACCACCAGCGGTTGACTCTAGGCATTTAGTCCTTACTCTTTCTGACAACAGCGCTTACGTCTATGACACCACCACTGGTACCGGCTAGTAAAGTAGCTTTTCCCAACATGCTATAGTGCCTCCCAATGGGTAGGAGCAGATCGAGTTCGTATTGCTGCAGAGCAACTGACTTTCTTTCCTCCCTGATTGGTTTTCTTGCCTGAAATGACTTTCCGAAGGAAAAAAGGACTTAGCGCTTGAAACTCCTAGCTCAACTAGCGCTTTGCGCGGGTAGAAGGACTAATTCAGTCTATTGGGGCCTAGAGGAGCTATAGACTCTAGTTAGTCAGTTTCCTGGTGACTCCTTTGTCTTGGAGGAATGGAAGATAATGACATAGAAACAACATCGTATTCTTGTATAGGAAATTGCTCATATACATAATAGGGTGAGTAGTGGGTGGCACTTGCAGGTGCGCAATGTGCGAAACAAATCAATTAAAAAGAAAAACTTCGTATTGCCATATTGTCACAAGTTACAGAAAGCGATTGCTGGAAATGTAGGTTTTATATATATTGCCACACCTACGGACTGCAGTCAAGTGAGTCGATGAAGCATCATGCCTTAATGCACTTTTTATTTCCATTATTCGGCCAAATGTAATAGATGAACATAACTCAATTAATATATTGCACTAATTTTGGATCGCCAAAAGAAAAATTTTGGGTTTTATTTCTGCAGTGCACTGGTTGCTTTACTCTCGGGACTTGCTACATTACAAGTACTTAGTAATATCACCATATATACTCCTTAAATATCATTACAGCAAATTTAACCGTTAAATTGTGATCAGAAAAGAAAAAAAAAACTTTCAGTTGTGATTATACTAAATACTTGTAAGTATTGTAACAAAATTCACAATTTACTTGAAAATATATACAATAATAATTAAGGACGTGACCATTTAACTGATCAGGAGTTTCCAATTATTGGTGTATGGTTGCGATGATTTTAAGTATAGACTTCTAGTCCTACAAATGTACAAAATTAGCTGCTAGCTGTACACTTATTTACTTGCAAGTATCATTTATCTTTTTGTGCATATAAATCTTATTAGGCATGAAATTACCCAATGGTGGAGTGGTATATGCTTAAGACAATCCATCTCAGTTGTCATGCAGATCATACTCAACTGTGTTAATCCAATTACAATCGGCAAAAAAAAGATAAAAATCCTAGAATATCTGGTTTGGAGCTGTATCTTCTTAATTAACAATATTTAAATTCTTAAAAATAGAATTTAATCTCAAAACATTTTAAAAATAAATAATAAAAACAATGTCCATAATAAATTCCAAAAAAATAAAAAATAAAGATGTACAGCTCATATCTAAGTCTTATTATGCAAACACAAAATAATAATTAAAGATGCAAATTAAATTCCAAAACTCCTAAATTCTAACCGTAAAAGGCCGAAATGGAAGGAGACATCTCATTGCACCACATTTCTCCTCCTCCCTTGATTCTCCCTCCTCTCTCTAACTAAAGTTTCTAGACCCCAAATCATCGATCGCTCTTCCTTCGTTGCAGGCTGTCAAGCCTGTTTCCCGCCGGTAGGGAAATCGGGGAGAGAAATAAGTCTCAACCCTTCTCTCCCCAAATACTCCTCCGACGTAACCCGCACCCACCCCCTAATGCCCTCTTCCTCAGTTTTTCCATATTACACCTTTACTTCCTCCAATATTGTTCCCAAGTACTCTATCCTATATCTGTTCACTATTCCCATTCCATGCATAATCTCCAGTCCCACCACCTTCCGCCGCGTCTCTCACCGCCACGGCCAGCAGCCTTATTACCGCCCTTACTTTTGTACAACCATATTAATCACATCTCCCCTTGTTTTACCGTAGCCGTGGTTAGGTAGCAATATATCGATATCGATACTAAAAAAAAGTAGATATATTCATAACCATCGGTATATTCGATATCGATATATACAAAAAGGAGGACAAACAAAAGGAGGGTTTGTCATAGCTATATAGCAAATCGATATATCCATCCTTCATCGAGATCATCAGAGCGATCGAGAGAGATAGAATATTATTCATTGATTAATTAATTAATTAATTTGTTTTACAAATTAATTAATTAGTTAATCAATCCAATTGATATTTCGCTCGATGTTCTTCATTCCTTCAACGCCATTCCTCGACTCCGCCTTCGACGTTGCCACCTTACTATTCATCTCCGCCCTCATCGTCCTCTCCCTCCTCTCCATCTCCTTCATCTTCAACCTCTGCTTAAAGTCCCGCACAGCCCTCCACCTTCGGCACTTCAACTCCCTCTGGACCGTCCGATTCCTCCTCGTCATATTCATCATCTTCTGGTCCCTCAACGAGCTCCTCCGAATCCCCACCCTCCGCCGCACCTACCTCTACCCTTTCCTCTCCGTCCTCGCCTCCTTCGAGGAGCCCCAGTTTTGCAAAATCCACGTGGCGCTCTCGTTAGGGTTATTCGAGCCTGCCTTCCTCGTCACCCTGCTATTCCTTGTCGATGCCTCCATTGAAAGAAAGACCCCCAATGTCTCCTGGGCCATCGCATTCGTCCTCGCCACGTGTCTCCCCATGCTTCTGGTGCAAGTCCTCTTCCTGTTCTTCCACCCGTTCCACAAGCTCCACCTGCCGCTGCCGGAGATTTTCGTACGGAACTATGTCGTCCAGAAGGTCGAGTACGGCAGCAGCATGGTTTCATGCACATACCCTTTGTTGAACACCATCATGTTCGCCGCGTTCGGTGGCGCGTACTCGATGTGGTTCTTGTTTTCGTGCTGGAGGGTTTTGTCGTTGGTGATCAACAAGGGGCTGAGGTTGAGGATTTACACCCTGGCCGCCACGGTATTGGTGCCACTACCACTGCAGATTATTCTCATGGGGATGACCGTGTTGTGGAAGCCGGACCACCCGGCGTTCACCGCCCTCTCATTCGCTGCGTTTTTGTCGACGCTAATTTGTGCAGCCGTGGGGCAGGGCATTTTGGTCATTAAGCCCATCGCAGACTCGTTAGCTGCCGGAGAAGATCGCTGCCGCTTGATTCGGAAGCGGAAGCCGGCGGAGGGGGTGCAGATAATTGTGTCGGCTGATTAGGAAAACCATTAATATTGGACGTAAATTACAACACAATACATTCGATGATGACGATGAGGAAGATTACTTGATGTTCTAGTTAGAATTATGATGGCCCACTTCACCATTCAAGAAATCTTGTTTTCTTTTTTGGGTAAGTACACAGATATGGAAAAATTCAGAAGAGGAAAATGAGAACCTGGATATTATTAATTCGTACGCATGAATATTTGATGTTTTCCTTTCTTCCCCTTCTAGATGTGGTATAGAATTTTCTTTTTTACTAACTCCCAAAAAGGATGGACTGCCATGGCAAAGCATTTCATCCCTCACCTAGCCACCATTGTGTATTCAAGAGCGTTAGAAATCAAACACATGATGTAATACACGGGCCCTGAGAATTGTTTTTTCTAATGAACCCTAGATGTTTCCCTTGTAACGAAATATTTTTTGCTGTGTAATTATAATAGTATTTTACTTAATTGCTTTCCATATATCATGAATTCCAGTTCAAGCCCATAGAAATGCTCTTCATTAGACTGGCGGCCTGGTTATGCGCTCGGATTGGACTTCCAAACCCAAATCTTAACCACGGTCGTCAGTCTCGTGACCAGCAAATTGCACAAATTCATTTGATCCATGTTCATATTTTTAATCCAAATTATAATTGTTTTTTTATGTTATTTTTCCGGGACAATTTTGGTTTTGTTAGTGTTGGAACCAAATCTGAAAATCATGGTCAGACATTTAGTGTACAATTTTTTTGTTGGAGTTTAATGTACAACTTGAAGTGCAGATTTAGACCACAAAGCAAAAAGAAAAAATTGAGTACGATTACCTTCCCTTCAAATTCTTCTTCCTTTTCTTCCTTTTTTATTTAAACGGTCATGATTAAATCACGTCAATATCTTGTGTTGACATTTTTTAAAAAGAAAGTGAGAGAGGATGAGACTCCAGAAAAAACGTCGAATTACAATTAGAATGTGTTGTACAACAATAATAAAAGGTCTTTTGTTATAAATCAATTAATCAACATTTTGATACCACATGATTTTTTTTTTTTTTAAATGAATCAGCTGGCAAAGCCATGGCAGTTCACTCTTTTATTTTGGATGTCAACTATTATATCAGTTAATCAACATTTTTGTTGCCACATGAGAAAATTCGAACCTACATCTTCTCGGCTAATAAACATTTAATTAGGTCACATCGGCGTAACTTCAAAGGACCACCCACTTAAAGAACAAAAAGTTGAAAACCAAATTGGTTGGCTGTTATAATCAAAGGTAGATAGCACTAAATTTTGAAACGTACTCGTTGGTGGAAAAGGAAATGAATTAAAATTGATCGTAGCTAGGAAGAAGTTTCATTTACCTCTCATTTCCTAAAATTCCAATAAGACATTAACACTAAGACTCGATTATTTCCTCCACAAACTACATATATTTAGGAATTGTAAATTGACCAACCAACCATTTGTTCAACAATATTTTTCTTCTTGATGTTGTAAGATGTCGTAAGTTCGAGAATCCATCTCCTCTTTTGGTCAAAATAAGAAAACATAAACTCAGTCATAAAATTGAATTAATGAACAAGGGGTATTATTTGCTGGAGAGATTTTTCAATATGCCCATAATACATACCATGAGACAGTGGCAGAGCCGGAAATCGAAGTTAGGAGGGGCCTTTAAGCCATAAGAAAGAAATTGAAAGAAAAAAAATATAACTAACGGGAGAAAAATGTTCATTTTTTGAAGTGAAATGAATAATTTTAATAAAAAAAAGAGTAATAAAGTCACAATTTTTTTTTAGATAATTATATTGTAAGCATTGAACTTCTTTATAAGTTCCTATAATGAAGTTGAACAAAAATTAATAATCATGGCTCAAAACTACAATTTGAAGATTATCTTTGAAGATGAATTCTTCCTATATTCCATATATATGTGGTTTCATTATAAAACAATACTCTATCATGCAAAATAGTGAACTAACTAAAGGAGGGCTAGTTGATATATGCCTTTAGTTTGATAACTAAGCTATTGTAAAACATATTTATTTTGTCAATTAGAAAAACACAATAAAGCTAGATGTGAGCAAACACACATAAGTCGAAGAATGCAGAATATCCAACTAAAAGCACACAAACAAAAAGTACAAAATGAAAAATTCCAGGGTAAACCAAGGCCTCTCTTGTTTCTCAAGTGGCTCTGCCACTGCGATAAGACATATGTTATTATACAAGTGGAAGGAAAGTTTTTTTTTTTTCCATCAAGTGTCCCTCCACTTGTATATAACATATGGCGTATGTGACCGTGTTTTGGACTCACTAAAAAAAGTTATCAATTTGTTGAATATTAAACTTGCCATATTATTGAAGGGATTAGGATAAGCTTTACTTCATGCTGGTGTAGAAAGTTGGAGAGCCAAAGAAAAATCAAAAGAAAAAAGGAGGGAAAAAAAGGAAATTAGATGCTCCACATAATCAGTAATCACCTCCCCTTTTGGTTGAGTCTTTTGACTTAAAAAAACAGCTAAACCGTTCCCATTTTTGTGGGTCATGATTAAAGGGCTATATCTGGAAAGATATTCCTAGAATTTAGAATCCCATGTATCTCCAGATCTCTTGATCAAATGGTCTAGGAATGCCCATCACAAAACTTGTGCATCAATCAAACCGCAGGATTTGGTTGATTAATCCAAAATTCAAGTGATTAAACTAAACTTTGCGCTTAAGAGGGCCAAGATATGAGGAGCACATGCATCTCTGTGGGCAATGTAACACAGTAGAAAATGGGCATGCATGATACCTTTTACTTCACAAGGATTTTGCAGTAATATCTGCCACAGAATCCGGCCCTAAATTTGAGCTGGGCAAGGCATGGCTCCCATGTGGGGTATACTAGAAGCACGTAAAAAGTCAAGGACATTTTGGGTAGCATGCGTGAAATCTTTGAATCTGGCAAAATCATGTCAACTATCCGACCTTGTACTACTTGACGCATACCAAAACAAAGTTGCCCTAAGGCTGCAGATTATGAGCAATTTGAATGCGGCATCTCGTAAAGAGCAAGGAGAAGAACTTCTATATCGCAAACAATTTACTATAATAATATTTTAAGATAGTCATCATTTTTTTTAGTACATTGATATTTTTACATTAAGAGGAAATAGAGTTCGGCTAAGTTATATAATTGACAGCCTAATTTGGTATCAAATTCGCCATTTACAAGATTCAAACTTAAGATTTCTCACTTCCAAGTAAAAATGAATACCACTGGATTATAGTAATTAAGTTGTAGATAGTAAAATTGAAAAGTTGGAAGAGAATACAGGGTCGGACAGTTTATGTGATCTGATTGCCAGATTCAAAGATTTCCCGCATGCTATCCAAAATGCCACGACCTTTTAAGTGGTCCTAGTATACCAGCAATTGTAGTTAATCATTGTTTTATAGTAAAAATAATAGGTAATTAACAATATTTTATTAAGATAAACAAAATGATAGTTGATAATTAATAATTAATTCCAAAGGACTGCAGCACAAAGTAATCTATCTATACTATTATTAAGAAAACCATCCTTGTCAACTTTTTTTTCTTTTTTTTCTATTTGAACCTCACTTTTGATACACAATATTGACAAAAAGGAAGGCAAAATAGTAATTTTGTACCTTTTGACAAAATGACAATCATATCCCTATTTTTCCTATTTTATCTTTTTTTTTTTTTAGATGATGACAATCATAGTTTCCAATTTTACCTTCATTTTTTATACACAATATTTACATAAAAATGATAAAACAGTAATTATATAATATTAAAAAAAATATGCATTTATTAAAAAAATTGTTCACACACACAAAAAAAAATTGCGCTCTATGCTAGTAAGTAGTAACTAATGAAACAAATATTTAAACCGAAAAATTAAATAAAATTAAGATGATGACGTGATGCTCCCTCATCTATAGAATTGGTCCAATCCAGTTGGACTTGGACATGTTCGAAGCATGTTACTGGACAGCTTCATATGGTGTGTGACGCGCGTGACACCTCATTGTCGGTCGCATTTTCCAATCATATGGACCCCACAAAACTGCTGACGAGGACCAGGAGCGTCGGCCACACGTTGTCCACGTGGATTTGATGGCTAAAGCTGCTTCGCAAGATTTCAATTCTTTCCTCTATTTTTCCTTTTTATGAGAGGAGAATTCCTTTGCTTTATTTGTCGACGTGGAATTCTCAAATGTGTGAATTGACACAAAAAAAAAAATATTAAAATGTGTGATAAGACTCTCCCGTTTATAGCTGGTTTTCTATAGTACCAATTGTTGCTTTATTGAATTTGTTTTGTTAATAAACTTGTGATTTGACTTTGATTGTATTTTTAAATGCAAATTCAAACTCAAGTATAAAAATTATTCATAATTTCCATAATTAATTAATTCCATAAACCTTCCTTCTAAACGTTATAAAATTATCCCCTATCAATACTATTTTGCTAACGTATTAATTAATTAATTCTACCTTATTTGTTTTGATTGGATTAATAATTATATACCTTATTAGTTTTTGGAACGAAAGAAACCAATTTGCAATTTTTTTTTTTAAAAAAAAGTTTAAAAGGGAGAGAGGGTTGCCAGAAAACTATGACTCGTTCAAAAGTGTTTTTTAAAATAGCTGAAAGCACTTTTATTGAAAATGCTTCTGAAACCAATTTTTAGTAAAATAATAAAATGACAAGTGAATCCTAAAAAAACACTTTATTGTTTCAGCATGAATCACATAACTGATGCTTGTTGTAATAAATAATTTATGTGTTTTTTAAACCTAAAAATATCTTCTTTAAAATTTTTAATTATTTTAAAAGTAATTCTAAACAAGGCCTTAATTTGCAATTGTTAATTACCATTAAAAATGAAATAAAATGAAATAAATAGTAATTATCAGGCGCGTTTTGAGAAACCTTCCTGCAAGTTGTAACCCTCCGGACTTTCCAGCGTATACGACTTTGATTTTACA